AAAAAACTTCTCGCATATAATGCCCATTGTCACTAACACACACAATCAATGTTAATGTCTAACAATCTACCAATGTTACAGTTGTTTTAGGATTATATATGTTGCATAGTTATTTCATCATTGATCCCATTTAGTGATGACGTATTATAAGTCTTTTGAAATTTTTACAATTTAATTTATATAAATAGAATTTCTAATTCTTAAAATATACCTCAATTGATATAATTTAATGTTATATATTCTTATTCTTTAATATAATATAATAGTTTTATCTGAGAAAGATTAACTAACATAGTTGGTTGATAGGAATATTGGTTTAGGCACAATTATTGATTTCATTAATGTGTCATATATTCTCTTCACATTCGTTAACACTTCTCAATCTTTCTTTTCATTCATTCACATAATACATTTTTGCATCTTTCTTTACTTATATATCATTTGGAATGTTTGTTAATGTTAATCAATGATACTATGATACTACTATTCCTTCGTAACAAATGATAATATACGTTAAATTTAGCTTATTTTAGTTTCGTTTTTTTTTTTTTTAGAAAAGAATTCAGAAATTTTAGCATAATGGCACGACCTAAAGTATTCTTCGATATTACCATTGGTGGAAGTAATGCAGGACGAATTGTTATGGAGGTATGTTTTGTAATGAAAATTGATAACAGTACAATGTATAAATGTTATTGAAAAATCTAGAAGAATACGTTACGATAGTATTGTTATCAAAAAATTTTGATATAATCGAAAATGATGCATTAATTGCGAGCATTTTATCGCTTTTCTAATTAATACAATTTTTGATTGTTAGCAACTTGCAGAAATTATTGGAAAACAATTCTATTGGAAAATATAAAATTTTTCCATTTATTACAATATATTTAATAGTATTTTCCTTTTTTTTTCAGCTTTTTGCTGATATTGTACCGAAAACAGCTGAAAATTTCCGTTGTCTTTGTACCGGAGAAAGAGGCATAGGACGAGGTGGTAAAAAGTTGCACTATAAAGGATCGAAATTTCATCGTGTAATACCAAATTTCATGTTACAGGTTTGTTCATTCATTGAATTCTATCACGGAATATAAGTTCTGAATACGTGGAAAATATGAGTGATATATTTCGAAAAAAAAAAAGGCGTGACATGGATCGATCAGTCGGCTACCATTTTGAAATTGTTAAAACGTCTTTTTCCGTGAATAAATTTTCTATAAAATTTGTTATGGAAATTGTACTTTAAAGTACAAAATAAAAAAGCTTATCGATTTAAGCTTCATGTTGCATTTTCAAAATAAAAAAAAAAAAAGACATTCGCCTTCTTTTTTAGGGTGGTGATTTTACACGCGGGAATGGTACGGGAGGTGAATCAATTTATGGTGAAAAATTCCCTGACGAAAACTTCCAGGTATTATGTTTTTAATTGTTTTCCTTTAGCTTATGATATTTTAAGGACTGTAATTGCCATATCAGATGTCGTCTTGACGTCAAATGTGCTTAAATATATGACCGTATAACATTTCAAAATAGTCTCTGGGAAATTGAATAGAACTGGAAAGTTACTGGTGTAGTTATACAAAATCAAAAATCACTAAAACGCTGTGTAGTGTACGAGAAAGGTTTGGATGAAATTGTTGGGAATTTCAGGAGAAGCATACAGGTCCTGGTGTTTTATCAATGGCTAATGCTGGACCAAATACCAACGGCTCACAGTTTTTCATTTGTACTGCAAAAACAGAGTGGTAGGTGTTACTCTTTTTGAGGTCGAAAATTCGATAACTGAATAATCTTATATTTTATTCATATGTAAATATGTTGGCATATTGATATACTTTTTAGCAAGAAGGAAAGTTTTTTTTTTTCTTTTAAATGGTTTTCCTTGTGGGAGGTTTTTTTTCAAATAATCTTCCTTTTATTTTGACCGATTTTTAAAAGCGGAAGAGAAAGTTTCATCATTGTTTTAGCCGTTACGAAAATTATCTTTGAACCGCTGATGCGTTTTTGAGAGATGGTTATCTTTTCTCGCTAAAAGTTTCTCCGTCTTTTTCTTCTTTAAATAAAGATCTATTTAGAATTGTGGGTGGTGAATCATTCAAATGAATTTAGATAATTTAAAAAAATGCGCTCGCAATTCGAAAATCCTATGCGGTCATATCAAATATAAAGGGAAATCTGGCAACTTATGAAATTTAAGAATTAATTTTTCTAGATTTCAACCAAGTTGTTTGGATTTTAATCCAAACTAACTTATGTGTACATTTATAGGTTGGATGGAAAGCATGTAGTATTTGGCCGTGTAGTGGAAGGTATGAATATTGTGAAGGCAATCGAAGGTAAAGGATCTCAGAGTGGACGAACATCGGTTGATATAGTAATTTCAGATTGTGGACAGTTGTAATACACGTACTGGAAGAATTTTCGTGTTGTTGACCACATTGATGTTAATGATGCCATTGCGTTTATTTCATGCTGTAACATTTTATAAATTGTTTTAATTCAATAAAGATTTCAATTTAATGTTTACAAAATATCCTTAGGACCTTTACCCTGACAAATGTTGGACTCTTATCAAATAAATGAAATATTATTATTGCTCGGATACAAAAATTTAAGACTTTAATCTTTTTATGTATGAATAATTCTGATCCTTTATCATGGATCCAAATGTTCAGTTGAGCAAAATATCATCTAGCAATTGATCATTTTCCACTTTGATAAACCGCTCATTCCACCGTTAAAATATTTCCACTGTGATATTATATAATCGTAGATTACACGGGATAAACTAATCTTCCTTTCAGCAATTTACAGTGGTAATTACAGCAATGAGTTTGCCTAACTTTCGGCTCATACGACTGATTATTCTAATTCATCGGACTGATACAAATCGTTGATATGTTTATTTTTAACCTGTAACGAATAGGAAGAAAGTACATAACTTATGATCAGTTGAAAATATTTCGAAAATTTTTTGTGAAGAAATATATAAATTACTGATTAAATGATCAATTACAATAGGAGGAAAGGAAGTAATAGATTTTCTTGTGTAAATTTCGGATTAAAACTGCTAAGATATAAGATATTAGCACAATTAACATATACCCGTTATTATTAGCATATCATAAATGATGAAGATAAAAAGCATCATTGTTGAAGAATGCAAATATATTAATTAGGATAATATTAATATGTAAAAGGAAAACTATCCCAAACAATGTTAGTGATATCAAATTGTATACCATTCAATCAATTGATTGATAGGAGCAGTATTAGTTTATAAGCTTAGATTAGAAATTGATATCTAACTCAAATATGAAGGAAACAAAAATGTGCTTCACTGAATTGACCAATTCATTGGAGCATAATAATTAGCATTTCAACAATTTGCAATCCGAAGTCCATTGTCAAAAAGTTTTATATGCAGTATGAAGCGATAATCAAAGTTGATATATTCAATTTGTTGGTAATTTCGAATTAAAGAAGTTTATTATAAAGTATATTTTAGATGGCATATCTTGATTTGAAACATTATTCACTACAGAAATGCTCCATCGTTCTTCGTCCTCTTGCAACCTATTTACCACACATGAAAATTTATAATGTGTAAATCAGGTCGAACAAAGAAAAACTTTCTGAAATAAAATCGAAGTGTCATTCTTAGTTCCCAGTTACAGGAATCATTTTCAAATAATCAATTAGCAATCAATTTCAATTCCTATTTCATTTGTCCTTAACAAATTAGTGATCGGTGTTATTAATTTGATTTCATATTTCCAATATTTCGCTATTCGATTCAATTTAACGATTACATCCCTCGTTCGATTATATTTTGACGTCTTTTTAACTTAATAATTAAAAAAATTGACAATTAAAAATTGGAATTGCGGACGAGAGCCCTGTAATATAACGGATAATGCAACTAACTTCTAATCAGAAGACTGCATGTTCAACACCCATTAGGGTCGCATCTTTTCCAATTACACACCACGAGTTAGGGGATCATATTGCATTCAGCAGTAATATCCAGTGGTTCCCCAACCGCTGACCCGCCAGGTTGGTAACGCGGTGGGTAAAAAACAGGCAACGACTATTCATATCAATATTTGATAAACCAATGTGTTAGAAGTTTCGATCAAAGTTCACTTTCAAATTGACGGGATTTATTACTCTTGAACCTTATGGTCCCTGTTACAAATTAAAAAAAAAAGCTAAAGTGGTCCCTGGCCAACGAAAACACCTAAACTACGCCAACTGAAGACTTACGCAATTTTATACTTAAGAATTTTGAATGTATCCAAGCATCAACATATGTTTTTGTAGGTACACACCGATATTTGCGTTGTCAGATTTTAGACATCAGGATATATCGTAACATATGCCAGCCTTGGTAGTCAAAGATCAAATTGATTACTGTCCAGTTGCACGTAAACTGATTATAAGAACATCTCCGCATCTCTCAATTGTGCATCATAAAATGCAACAAATCAATCACGTCTTCCAAGTTCCCTCCTTTAATACATCCTTAATTTAAACTATCGAAATCTAGACTCATCCAATTTCATCATTTCTATACAAAGACATTTGAAATACCTACTGCTATTACTAATATGGAAAATTGCTTCATTCCCACACCATTTGAAATTCATAGCAATGAATCATTTTTCTTACCTCACCAATTAGAAACGGTAATAATTATCGACTTCCTTTATCTATATTCACGGGTATCGATATCAAGCTGTTAAGCTGGACAAAATTACTAAGTACCACAAATCCTGCAATATCCATTATAGATCTTACGTATAATACACACCATAAACACTGACGTTCCATAAAATTTAGGAATTTCCCAAACACTCCGTTAACCTTCCCTTCACACATAAGCAAACAACAGTAATCCCAAATTTCTTTTCTATCCAGACGACGATCCCTTTCTCATTTCAAATCATGTAACACTTCTTAAAAGCAAAAATCTCCATTGTTCGCCAAAAAACCATGGTGATTTTTTAACGACGCGCGACAAACCCAAATTCACTGATTTCGCCTTTAAAAACCATCTTTTTACCGTCACACTTACTCATACTTTCAATTTGCCACATATATTACCTTCATTGTAATATGATCTCGCAAATTTACCAGATATTTTTTATTTGGTTGACTATTTCGAGCTTACCATCAGATCTCGCAACTTTGATTTCATAGTATAACAATGTAACCAGCAAGAAAACAATGAAAATTATAACACACGTTTCGAAACAGTGAAAAGATACATTCCGAATGCGATGACAAAATGCGACGAACATTCGTTAATTTCCCTCGAAGATATGTCCAGACAGTGAATACAGATGAGTATGCAAACGTTTAAGCTTATCCCATAAGTACGAAAAATGACGTGCTTCGATCCAGGCAAGCACATCATGCTCTTCTCCATATAAAAGATACGGCAAAAACATACGTGACGAATGTTACCAAATCAAGGAAACATCTTCAGATGATCGAATGATATAGGCTTAACTAAGGTACTTACTGCAACTTTGTGCAAAAGATGTGATCACATCAACGAATAGAAAAAAACAAAAATTCCGAATATCCAAATAAACTTAATCCTGAAAGCTAAGCACATCATATCTGATTGCGGCAAGTGCAAAACCAAATGGAATCAACGGGATATAAACCAAACCTTACATACTGATGTTGCGAGATTCTGACTTGTTAAATTCAAGAAAATGACGACGACGTATATAAACGTAACAACAACAACACAATAAGCAAATGAGGAAATATGTCTGGAATTGCAATCTGCAAAAAAATTAAGCCAATGTGGATTACGTGAAGATTGACCCAGCTTATCACTTTTGAGCTGGCGTTTCAATTCCCAGCGCTTTTATTCGCCCTTATACATGACCCACACACGTGGGCTATCGATATAACCTGAAAGGCTTAATTAGTGTCCAAAAATGAAACATTATTTGAAAGGAACAAACGAAAAAGTAATATCAAGTGGAGCGCAAATGTGCCAATTACATACCAATAAACAAATCAAACATCATGATACCAATCTTTTATTTACTTTCATAGAAAGAATATATCACACTGTAAATTGATATGTGATGGGTGCAGTACACATTCTGGTAAATTTTTCCGTTTTCTGCAATCAACCGTACAGGAAATCTTCGAAGAAGAGCTCGCTTTGTGTATATGTGTGCATGTATTATGTATGTATGTATGTGTTTCCTCATGAGCAGAATTCTTTTTTGAAATTCGGCTTTAAAGTTTACTGAAATTCCTTGAACTTATAAAGAACTACAATCATTTCGACTTTTTTTTCAGATTTTTGGAGCTCTTTTAGACATTAACCAATAAGCACTACTGAAAAGCCAGAACAACGCAAATCCACATGTTTTATTGTGTTCCATTCACTTCTGCCAAGAACTTTTCTAAGGCAAAATACTGTTTTCACCTCTCCACATCCGCAGAATGTTTAAGTGTTGGAACAGAAATGTTATTAATTAAAGTAAAGCTATAATAAAGATAAAAAGAAAATCGACGGCAAATCCTTTTTTCCTGGATTGTTATCACCGTCACTATCGCTTGATCTATATCGCAAAAAATGCGACAAAATTGTCAAAAAATGAAAAACAAATGTCAAACCTGCATTTGACTCACTGGTCAAATAACCACCATGCTCTTGTAAAGTATGATCTTTAAGAGCACCCCATTCAGCGCATTTATGCTGGCATACGGAACAAATATAGCCATGCTCTTCTTTTTGATGTTCTTCCATCCAGACAAAACGATTGCATTTGAAGTCACAGATTCGACATTCAAATTTGATTATACCCGTATGAATACGCTCGTGTGTTGTCACCTTTAAGTATAGATTAAAATTCAGTTGTACATTTTATTACTCGCTCTCTGATTTCGTTGAGATAACAAAACTCGCTTTTTTTCCAAAATTAAAAATATTAAATTTTAAACATGAACTATCCCTTCTTCCAAACTAAATTCTGCATAGGAGATGGAAAAAAGAAACTGACCGAACATTCGCTTGTGAATAATTCATCGCAAAAGTGACAAGGAAAAGTTTTCGTGAAAACGTGAGCCATTTTTTTGTGCTTCCTGAGTTTTCGCGGTGTAAGAAATTTCAAGGTACACATATTACATTTGAAACCTGAATTCGCACCACGATGGAATTTTGCCCGGTGATTAAGCAATCTTTGTTGAGTGCAGAGATTCCTCAATGGCGTACATTCAAAGCAGATAAATGTCTGAAAGTAAAGCTATAAAGTAAAAGACCTATCAATCACTAGCTTAGTCCGTTCCTTAATAACTGAACCTGGATAAAATCAGAGACGAAATCTGTCTAAGACCACTCTTTTATCTTATATCGAACTGCGTCCTTCTGTTGCTCTTTCTATTTCATCGCTTCCAAAATCCGACATGATATTAATGCGTGCTAATTGTATGGATCTTACAATTCGTTGACTAGAAGATTGAAACAAAACATAAGGTTTGGTAATTTACGAAATGCATACACTTCTCACGAGATTATCTGAAATTCCCATTAAATAAAATTACCAAGTCACATTCATGAGCTGACAGTTCGTTTTTCGTTTTTACTGCTTTGAAACAACGTAAACATTGGACGAAATCAACGGTTTCTGGATGTTTCTTTACGAAATGCTTTTTCAAAGACACCTCATTCCTGAACCGTTTATCACAGAACGGACATTGTGGAGAGACCTAAAAAAAAAAAGAGCTTGTCAATCAATTCGAACTTCGACTGTTTGGATAGCTTTATAAATCAGCAAAAAAGACAATGAAGTCGAGATACTGATACTTTTTTCTTGTAAGAACGTTTTGGTTGACGCAAGAAACCATGTCGATCGAAACGTGCTGGGATACCACCACTTAATTCACCAGGCAACGGTATCCTAAAAAGTCAAAAAAATTGTACTTCGAGAAATACGAATGACGCAAAAGATATGGTGATAAAAAAGAATAAATGAAGGACAAAATTATTTGAAGCAAATTTCATTAGTCGATTAAGTCCCAGAAGTACCAGTTGGAAAGAAATGTCTTACTTGTCAACTTCGACTTCATAAGATTCCGCATCTATTTCATGCTCTGGTGGGATGTAACCTCCTGTTGCAAGTTCCTCAATCCGATTTGCTTCAAGCTCGGCCTGTCTGAAACTTTTCACAAAATTAAGGAAAACACCTTCTTGCAGGTTCCGATCTATATTCTTAATTAACCCAGATACTTCAACAGTAACCAGAAATCCTCAGTGTTTAAGAACCTTTGTTCGGCAATGTCCTCTTCCTGTTGTATCAAATACACCAGATATTCGGTATAATGCCGGTCCCGCAGATGTCGTTCATACAAATTTTTTTCAATAAAACGATTTTTACATACTTTGCATCGAACCATTTTAGCACGTATAGCTTTCCGTATCTAAAGAAATTAATTTACAATGTGAATCTCAGAAAACTGACAATATAAGTCCAGAAATTTGCAAATCTAAATGCAAAATCATCGGACCTCATCTGGAACTGTAGGATGTGGGGGAGGAGGTGGAAGTTCACTAAGAAGCACACCATCTTGAAGTCGTATTGGAAATGTCGTTTTATCTGATGAAGCTGAAATTAACATTATATTTTATGGGTCCACCAAATCATCTAATGTATCGCTGATCCATTTTTAATCATGAACTTTAATTAAAACCGTCAGTATGAAAAAATAGCGGTTAGTCTATAAAATCAGTTTAAGGCCACGATTTACCATTCGCGCGAACAATTTCCGGGTGATACACCCACTTCCTCGGTTGATTTTCTTTTCGGCTGGTTTCTAATCTTCGTCCGTACTGATCAAGCACAACTCTTTCCTTTTTCTCGCTTTCTGCTGATGTATTAATGGAAAACAACTTTGAAATTAGCCAACCAACACCAGACATATGAGATCGTTTCTAAAATAAAGACGCCTGGAGGAAAATACAAAACAGGTGCAAATTCATTTTCCGCAAGTCCACAAAAAATCATAAACATAATTAAGAACGACGAAATCAAAATCAAAAGATTCTTCGCAACAAGCAAAGTTTCAGAACGCCGAAATAAGTAAACATAAATGCATTAATACCTTCCTAAGTTCCCGAGCCTGTTTTTCTTGTCGTACAGCAACGGCAAGCATATTCCGCAGCTCATCACAATCGGGTCCAATTGGATTATACGGCCGACGTCGCACTTCACTTTCATCTCCACCAGCCAATTGCTCAATCAAAGCATTAGCTATGATTTCTTCCAAACCATCGTCATCCACTTCAATTTCTTCTCCCATCACCCTTTCATTCCCTTCGATCTCCTGATATGTCACCGAATCCGAATTAATCTTAATTTCTATATTCAAACCCTAAAGGAAAAGAATTCCGATATCTTAGTATGGGCTTATCTCACTTCTCTGATTCAAAACGAAATACCGTAGTTTGCAATGAAGCTTTGAAGCTCGGCGAATCACTACGGGATGAATTATCATCTCCACCATCATCCACATCGATAATAACACTTGATGACAAGAATTTGTTATCAGTTTTGCCCTCCATCTGCATCGCCGGAGCATTAGATGATGTGGCAACAGCAGAAGTGTAATGTTGGACCGGTGATGGCGTATAAACTGACACGTCCATTCCGCTACCATGTTCCGAAGATTCTGGCGAGTAGGGCTTATTGTAATCACAATCATACGAATTAACCGCCATAGTACAATCATCATATAGATCTGCAATTCACAATTCATATAACACTATCAAAACGAAGTACATACGAATGCATATTATTGGATCAAAAGAAAAAATACATGGATCAAAAGAAAAAAAGAAAATTCCGCGAGCAGTATAAAGAATATAAATAACGAAAATGTGACTCTCTAAACAGAAGAAAGAATCAAGAATTATTTTCCAATAACTTTAAACAATATAACTATCATTAACAGCAGGTTAATTAGATGAAAGATTCGACACTGATTTCTCGAAATTCCCCATCAGCAGAAAAACTAAACGAGACATGACTAGTTCTCGAAAATAGCAACTTTCTTGGGACTGGCTCCATCAGTATCAAAAGAAGCAATGTACTGCCTGAATCTACAATTCTAATAACCAAGGCTTCGAAAGAAACAGCCCTATGACAACGTGTAAAATTCACCGATGTCAGCTCGGATACCCAAAAAAAAAAATGATGAATGGTTCCAAACAAAACCTGCAATATCTTCCCTCTCCTCACCTTGAGCTGGATGTTTGGATAGAGTTACATGGTTTTTGAAACCGTTGTATGTTGACATCAGTATTCTTTCCGTTCTCTGTACAGCACTTCCTTTACAGATTCCCTTTCAATATTACCACTGATTTACTGCACTAATCATTGCAATTAAACATACAATCAAATTCATGAATCTGCAACAAATTCCACTTTTGATTTTCTCCTGCTCAAAATTAAAGATAAGCCAATGATGACAAGCGTTGTACCGACATTTCTAACAACAGCATGTCAGATTCTAACATAAAATCCGTTGCACAATGTGCAGTAACCATACCAGTCTCTGTTGTTAATAAATAATATGGGTCAGTACTAGCAATGCTCTTACTGTTTTAGAGCAAATTTAATTATTACCACATTTACATCCAGCAATTTGCAGAATGAAAGAATTGCGACTAGTCATTCTTTCCATCATGAAAACATCATTTACTAACTATGGATTGATGTATTGCATTTCCTAAAGCAATAATTGTATCTTTCCTAGATAGGACGACAAAGTTTCATTGTCCAAATAAATACTTTGACAGCAACTGCACCTAAATTATGCCAACTAAAAGATCTCATCGTCTTCTTGATAAGACAAAGACTTTTAACCATTCTGTAACATATACGATCTGATCTAACCTATCCCGTATCACAAGCTTTCACGTAGGACACTAGTCAAATTTCCAACTGCAAAAAAAAAAATCAAATCTAGCCTCAGCACACAAAACAACACTTACGCATTTTACAAGTAATCCTTTACTTGTTTCAAAAACAGCGTAGCATATTATATCCTGACGTGGAGTCAGAATCCCACGCCGACTCAACGTGAAACCAAACTCATCTCCACGTCGACCACCTAAACTTACAGCTCCCACAAAAATCGCTAACAGAAAATTGGCAGCAAGCCAAACCCGCTCACAGGTTTCGCTGTAAAAATTCATTCATGTATTGCAACGAAAGCTTCGTAAGAAGAATTTTATTTTTAATTCAGTTGGTTGACTTCACTCGCAATTACTCCTATTCGATTTACATTTCTTTACTTTGTTTTAAATTGAACTTATTCACATTACTTAGTTACTGCCCAAAGTTCATTTTCCAAGCATTACTGGAATTTTTCCCAAAGCCGTATTAATCAAACATTCGTCATGATCTTAATTGGATTTAATCTAATTAGTTGACATCATTTAAAGCTCTTTGTACGTTTGTTCATACACTGTTCCACTCTGATCAATATATCAGAATTCTAGCTCTATGTAGGCATGATTAGAGTTCGTCTGTCAGTTGCCTCTGTATATTATTTAAAAAAGTTGTTGCATTTCTTTTAAGTCTTTTTAAGTTTTCTTGAGATAGTTTCTTAAGATAGATATTTTTTAAAAATAGTTTAGTTTTTTAAGATGGTTTTTTCCAAAAAAATCTGAAAACTCAGCTTCATGCGCAGTCACGATGAGACTCTTTATTTTAAGTTAAATTTCTTTGCGGTGCAGTTGAAAATAAAAGTGCAATAGATTTTACTGGATGGTTTCTTCCTTCCCAATTCAATTTTCCACACATCTTCAAATTCTTACCACAAATAGAAGTTCATCCAAGTCATGAACAGTTCATCTCCTCAACAATGATTTAGAATGATGCAGATTCACAATTGTAGTCTTATATCAGTCTTCAATAAACTGCGTAACTTCTGCTTGATCGATGTAATAATGCAAGGTAAGGGGATCACTTTGTAAACATAAATCAGCTGTGGATGAATAGATACATTTTTACAATCTATAGAATATCCCAAATGATTCTTTTCAAAATGATTGGAAAATGGAACAGAATTTAAATCAATATTAAATTAAGAATAAGAGGTTTCAAACATGAAATATTTGAGAATTATTTCTTGTCATCATTATAATGGCGTTCTTCATTGGAAATAGATAAGAATTCATTATTAGTGCCGTTTATTAAGGTATTCATAATGATGATTTGATGGATGATCTGATGGATGGATGGATAATCAACGGATGATTTGATGTCACGGAAAATTGTGGGAAGAAAGCATTTCTGAAGAAATGAACTGATAGCAACCTAACACCGCTTAAACTATGTGAAATCAAAAATTGTCAACTTGTTCACTTATGGCAATAGCAGGTAACGTTATAAATATGACGACTCACTTTGTCATTTTATCAGGATTTCTGGCAGATTAACCAGTGCATGAATCGTACATTTTCATTCATCGAATAACTACTAGAATTTATGGAGAACCAGAATTCAGTGGCAAAATCTATCGAACAGCTGACCAACCTCATTTACAAATATCATATACCATAACATTGTTTTGATTATTTTTAACAGATTGTCACAAATTTTAAAATGCTAGAGAACTGAAATTATTAAAGGAGCAAAAGATCCATTAGATTTGGTAGATAAATCCTTCGATGGACGCAAATTTACTACCAAACTGACCACATTGTTTTGCCACGCATTAAGTACAACCGCTGAAAATTGTCCAAAACATTTTTCACTATGACAACCTTTTACATTGCAATATATAGTCGTTCATGTCCAGAAAGCTTAACCTGAGCATCAGTTGAGGGTACCAAGATAAAAGTAGGTCGAAGTTAAACGATTCAAGACATTTCAGAAGCACCCGAAGAATGAACTACAAACAATCATCGCTATCAGATTCCCAAATTACTTCTATCTCTCGGAAACTCAAAACTTGTTCTTCCATCCATCTCCCGAATTCTCTATCAAGCATTGGTTTCGTATCGTTTGGTCTCATCTTCCGTTCACTTTTAGTCATAGTATAATCACAAATAATCACTTGATGTTGCATTTTGCTGCCTTCGACACAATAATTTCATTTCACAAAGGAATGTTTCTTTGTTTTATGAATTCCGGAAAGATTCATATCAGATATTCTTCTTCCCAATACAAATAGAAGATCTCTTTTCCGAATTCGCTTCATCAAATTTTAATTCATAAAACATTTTCTCACATTATAACGGTTCAAGTAGCATTTTATATCTCAGTCAGTCGATTCTTTGCCTTAACTGATTAATTGATTAAGGAGTATAAATAAGGGGAAGATTACATTCATGTAAGGTTTTTACCGAAGAATAATCTTCTGAAAAAAATATAAAATTGAGCAATCGAAAAAAAATTGAGAAAATTTCGGATTGTCAGCACCAATACTTTCTTTTCAGTACCTTCTTGTTGTTCATCTGCATTTTTTCGTGGTTCAGGTAAGTTTCTTAGAAAAGTTAAGTTTGAAGTCATTTTTTTGCAAAATATTTGTGAATTTTATTTTCGGAATTGCTAGCCATGCCGGAGATAGATGGGACTTGACATAAACTAAGAAATTAAGCCCTAGATGGTTTGCATAGTTGAAGAAGAGTTCTAGGAAATGAAGGCGATAAGATGAGCGAAGCAAGAAAGGAAAGCAAGAACTAGAAAGTTTGGAAGGACTACAATGAGATATCGGATTAGAAGGATGATAGAAGCAACAATGGAATTTTTCGGAGGAAGCCAACCAGTCCCTCTCAATGATGACTGTTCTTTGATTTCAGAGGACTGTTTGGTGTCTCAATGTCCTTTCACCCTTGTTTACACCGACATCGTATATTTGTCCTTTGCATCGTTCTACAAATTCGTATTTTCAACATGTTTTTCTTTACATTTAGTCAATACGAAGAGCATTGAAGACCTTACTGCTTTTTATAAAATGCAAGTTATAATGCAATCAGTTCTCTTTGTAATAATAATACCAATTTCTGCACGACTGCAAAGTCAACATTTTTCGTTCCATTCCGGCTGTTTCATTCCTTTCGTAATGACATTCCGGCACTCCAGCATGTCATTATGCCCCCAATTTTTAACATTATTACGTATTTCACTATTTCAAGCCTATTTCATCATCAGTATCATATTAGGTTTCTAAAGTGATAACAACAATGGTCTGTGCGAGCTGTATCCGATCTTGCATCAGTTCCGGATCACTTCATATATTTGCCGATATAACTACTCCCCATCAAAAGAGAAAAACAAAACAGAGCACTTTACACAGTAATTACTGCAAAACGTCTTTGCTTGCATAAATTCGTAACCTGAAATTGTTCGGGACACCAAACGTTACACACATTAAAACACGTATTTGAAGTGTTTCGAAATTTCCATTTAGTTCCAAAAACAATTCAGGAAACCGACTCATCAAATTTCATCTACAGTGATAATTTGCGATTTGAATATACAACAAAAGATCTCTTCATGAAATTTGAATTTCAAATTCCAATATGCGTTAACAAATTTTGTTACTGTACCGAATAGAATTTGAGGTCTGTTGATGAACGGATACATCTGTATATAAATAGAAATAACAAAAATGAAAGAAGCGATATCACTGAGAGGGAATGCTTCGTTATTTCCGAGATATTTCACTCCCTGTCGTTTCAACCTTGTTCTCCTTTTGGTCCGGCCGGCCCTACTTCTCCCTTTTCGCCCCGCTCTCCCTGCTGTCCTGTCAACCCAGGCATTCCTTTTGGTCCTGGTTCTCCTCGCGGTCCGATATCTCCAGGATCTCCTCGAGGTCCTGGTGGTCCTTGCGGTCCTTCATCTCCCTTCTCTCCATCACTTCCATCCGGTCCTGGCGGCCCCGCCTGTCCCCGTGATGACGATGGGAGACAAGCCTGAAAACAAAATTTGCAAATAATTACAAGCATGCCTTCAAACTTAATCTTTTCCATTTAAAAACAATCCATTGAAACTTACTTGAACCACGAAAACAGCGCAAACGATCAATAAAAAAATACTGAAAAGCTGCATTGGTACTGAAAATCTGAAAATTTCTCAAATTTCTTTCTAATTATTCCATTTTTGGATTTTCAGATTATTTTTCGATAAACGTCTTACGCGAATGAAACTTTCCCCTAGGTAAATGATAATCGATTAATTAGAACATAGCAATCTTACTTGGGCTGTTATATTGTGAGAAAAGACTTTATGAAATAAATTGAAATTTAATAAAGCAAATTTGGAAGAGAAATCTTCTATTTATATTGAGAAGGAGGATATCTGATATGAATCTTTCCGTGAATTCATAAAACAAAGAAACATTTCTTTGTGGAATGGAATGATTATATCGAAGACAGCAAAATCAACATCAAGTTGACGATATCAGTAAAGGAGAGATGGATGCAAAAAAGCTTTTGAATCTTCGAGAGACAGAAATAATTTGAAAATCTGATAGCAATGATTACTTATAGTTTATCTTTCGGGAGCTTCTGAAATGTTGCTGTGGAGGTGTTGGGTAACGAAAAAGCAGCTAATTAAATGAAACGACGAAAGGATATTCATAATAATCGAGAAGTTAAGTTTAATAAATGAACTGATATGAACTGGTCGACTGATCAATAGACTGATATTGCAATTATCATTGTTGTATGCAGAAATTGGCATTATAACTATATTTTAATGAGCAAATAAACGATTTGATTGTACTAAAACTTGCATTTATACAAAGTAATAAGGCCTTCAATGCTATGTGTGAAGAAAAACGTGCCGGATGCGTCATTAATTTGGTTCTGTTCTACTGAATTTTTGGTTATAATTAAGTTATTCTTACAAAAAGTACTAATTGGATTGCGGATTCGTTCGAGTAACTCTAAGGCGTGTAGTATTAAGTAAGGTGCAGATGGCAAGTTGAACTTTTATTAAGCTTTCATGAAGTCCGAAGGTTGAAATATCGGGCCAAGCAAAATAGTATACAAATAATAACTGCAAATAATACTTGCATACCGGCATTAGACCAATTCCCAAACCACTTCTGTTTCTCGAACGCTCAAAACCTGCTTTTGTTATCTATCATCCCGAATCCTTTATGTATTGTTGACCTTCTTATCATTCGATTCTTTCTTCTTTCTGTTCATTTTTAATCATCACATGAAAGGGTTCGTTTAACTTTCACTGATATTGTCGGTTATCACTTGATGTTATATTTTGCTTCCTTCGATACAATCATTTCATTCCATAAAGGAATGTTTCTTTGTTTTATGAATTCCCGGAAAGATTCATATCAGATATCCTTCTTCTCAATATAAATAGAAGATTTCTCTTCCAAATTTGCTTTTTCAAGTTTCAATTTGAATCTTAAAATCTTTTCTCATATATTCAACGATATTATAATTTTCCAGGCGGATTTGTAAAACTATGACTTATCAATTATGATTTTGGTTTAAAAATTAAGGATGATAACTAAAGAGAAGATTCCATCGTCAAAGACTGCTCTTGGCAAATGATTTTTCGAAGCAACCTAAATACCTTGTTTGGCAATCCTTTTCTTCGGCCACTTGAAGAGTTTTCAAAAGNTTAAAAATTTGGAGATTTGAAATGAAATTCGAAAAATTTCAATCGTTATAAAATACAAATTTTAGATTAGCAGTATCAATGCATCTGTTAG